AGGGTGGCAGGGGTCAGTGGGACAGCGGTGTCCGGACGGCAGGGGCCGGTGAGCCCCAGGGTGGGATGCCTGCTGCTGTGTCCATGGGCAGGGGAAACTGGGGGTCTCAGGCAGGGCAGAGGGGACTGGGAGCCCCGCGCGGGAGGACTGGGGTCGGTGGGACTGAGGCGTAGGTGTAGGGCCCGGACAAGGTATATGGGGCTAGTCCTGACTCCCAGTATGGCCGGGAGGCCCTAGATGGCTGTGCTGCTTCGAAAACTGGCCTCTGGTCACCTGCCCCGGATAGGGGACAGGCTGCAGGTAGCTCTGTGCTGTCCTGGCCATGCCCACTGCTGCTGCCATCCCACGTTGCCAGCCATTCCCGTGCCACACTTCTATGGCCACCACGGCAATGCCACTGTTCTTGCTTTCCTTGGGCTTGGTACTTGTCATGGTTTGACACAGACTGGGTTTTAGTTGGGGGACTGTCCTCCTCCCTGGTCCTCTCACCTTGTTTTTCACCCTGGTGCCAAGGTGGTGTGCTGGTAGAGACTAGGGTAAAGGCAGACACAAAGCATGCAGCATCCAGGGAGGCAGTGGGGGAGAGGGGATCACACCTCACAGCAGTGAAACCTTGCAAGGTATATGACCACAGGACCGTGGTGGCCCTGATGGGCTGAATTCAGGTCCCTGGTGCCAGCCCGTGGCACCTCCTGCAGCAAGAGCATGTCCCCAGCATGGATGCTTGTGCTGGAAGGACTCTTCTGTTTAGGTGAGGTTGGTCAGGAGGCTGTCTGAACTTGGTGTAAAGGATCCTCTTATTGTGGACAACAGTGGAATCGGTGCAGCATCAATCATCATCTACAGGGACATGCTGTGGCCAGAGGTGATGGGATGTGGCTGGCAGGGCCCATTGGGGGCTCTGTGCGGTCACATACCCTCTGCTCTCCCTGGGCATCCCTGCCATCTGCTGTCCTGGTTTGCATCATCTCATGCACAAGCTGCTCAAACCAGGGGTGGCAGTGACTGGTGTGGGTGTCTTGTGTCTTCTTTGGTCAGGAGATGTGACATGGCCCTTGTAGTTTCTTCCCCATTCTCCAGTGTCAACTGTTTTGCCAGGGCTTTGTGCAATTCCTTGGCTGCTCCACATGCTATCACTGTCCTGCCCCCTGTTCCATCCCTCCAGCAGCCCTTGCCGTGGAGCTGCCGGATGCTGTGAGTGAGCACTGGCCACTGCAGGCTTTTGAGGCTGGGGTCCTGCAGGAGAGAGAGCACAGCACTGAGGTTTGGTGGAAGAGTGATGCTGCATCTCTGCCGGCCCTCGAAGGACAGCTCTGTGGAGTCTGGGGAGTGAAGAGGAGCTGGCTGATTAGCATGTGGTGGGGCATGCTGCTCTGGGGACCTGCCCCCCTCAGCCAGGGCTCAGGGCTGGCAGCTGCAGTGGGCCAGTGGACCTGCTTTCTCTGGTTAGGGACCTGTCCAGTGCCAGGTGATAAATGGATGCTGTGGCACTGGGGAGAAGGAAGTGGTTTCTGTTCCTGCCTGTCCCCTCCCGGTCCCCAGCTGGTGGGTGCAGCCCTGCACTGGCATGTTTGTTCTGGTTGTGACTGTGCTCACTCTTCCCCTAGATGTGTCCCTGCAGGCAACCAGGATGTCCCAGCCTTTCCCCATCACCTCCACCCACCTGGCTGGTGGCGGGACAGGAGCAGGATGCAGATGTGAGCACAGGGAGGCGGTGCTGAGCAGGGGATAAAGTTATGGGGAGGCAGCTTCCTGAGCAGGGCTGTGTTTATGGCTCTAGATGTGGGGTAAGGGAAGGGACACTGCTGGTGTAAGAGGGAGCGGGACAGAGCTGGGCTTGCAGCTGATGGACTTCAGGGTCCTGGTGAGGTGCATGCGGATTTGCTCAGTGCCTCTTTGCCTGCTGCTTCCTTGCAGGATTTGAGTCAACTGCCTGGTCAGGATGAGCTGGAGTTTCCTGACGCGGCTCCTGGAGGAGATCAACAACCACTCGACCTTCGTGGGCAAGATCTGGCTGACTGTCCTCATTGTCTTCCGCATCGTGCTGACGGCCGTGGGGGGAGAGTCCATCTACTACGACGAGCAGAGCAAGTTTGTCTGCAACACGCAGCAGCCGGGCTGTGAGAACGTCTGCTACGACGCCTTTGCGCCCCTGTCCCACGTCCGCTTCTGGATCTTCCAGATCATCATGGTGGCGACGCCATCGGTGCTCTACCTGGGCTTTGCCATGCACCGCATCGCTCGCATGCCTGAGTCCTCGCGGCGCCGGACACCGCCAGCCCGGCGGGCGCGCATGCCGGTAGTGCGCCGGGGAGCCGGGCGAGACTACGAGGAGGCAGAAGATGACAACGAAGAAGACCCCATGATCTTTGAGGAGATCGAGGTGGAGAAGGAGAAGAGCCCAGAGGGCGGAGAGAAGCATGATGGCCGGCGCCGTATCAAGCAGGACGGGCTGATGCGTGCCTATGTCCTGCACTTGCTGTGCCGCTCAGTGCTGGAGATGGTTTTCCTCTTCGGGCAGTACCTGTTGTACCGCTTTGAGGTGAGCCCCTCCTACGTCTGCAGCCGCAGCCCCTGCCCACACACTGTCGACTGCTTTGTCTCCCGTCCCACTGAGAAGACCATCTTCCTTCTCATCATGTATGCTGTCAGCGGGCTCTGCCTCTTCCTCAACCTCTGCGAGCTCTTGCACCTTGGTGTGGGGCGCATCCGTGATGCCCTAAGCCAGGCTGGCGGCCCCCCACTCCCAACCGGCGACAGCCCCGCACCGCAGTACCCCAAGAAAGCCCCCAGCGCCCCACCCACCTATCACTCGCTGAAGAAGGAGCTGCCGCAAGCCCCACTGACCAACGGCAAGCTGGATTACCGGGACAGCCTGGCCCAGGGGCGCTTCGCCCTGGCTGGGGCTCCCCCGGTGCACGAGCTGGACCGGCTGCGTGAGCACCTGCGTCTGGCCCAGGAGCACCTGGAGGTGGCCTTCCACCTCCAGCCCCCGCCGCGGCCCCCCAGTCCTGCCCGCAGCAGCAGTCCCGAGGCCAACGGCATCGCCGCCGAGCAGAACCGCCTCAACCTCGCCCATGAGAAGGGGACGGCCGCCTGCGACAGGACCACGGGTGAGCCGGGAAGGGGGATGGATCCGGCCCACTGGGCTGGAGGCATGGGGGCTGCCCTGAGGCTCCCCTGGAGGGAGGATGCCATTCCCCCTGGGGCGGGTGCTAACCTGCTTTTTGCTCCCCACAGGGCTGTGAGTGCCACCAGGGACAGCAGCGGTGTCTGCCGGAGTGGCTGCCACCGCCACCGTGGGATAGGTGTCCTGCCAGGAGCACAGGGCAAAGGATGCGACACGCCTGCCCAGCGGGGTACTCTGGGTAGCCCTGTCCCTGCGGGCAGCAGAGGGGTCGGGAACCATGGGGTTCATTCCTACTTAATTTTAAAAAAGGGAATATCTTATTTTTGTACGTTTTTATAAACTCATCAACATGTGCACCCTGGCATTTTTATACTCAACTCTGGGCCTGTGCCCCCCCAACTCCTGTTTCACCTGTTTTCCCCACCATGTTCCCCACGGCTCCTTGTGGCCCCGTGCCCTCTGCCACCTGTGGCAGCACCGGCTGGTGCTGTGCCTGTGCTGGTGATTTTGGTAGTGCCCCCTGAGGTGTGGGGGACTTAGGGGAGCAGGCTGAGGGTCTGGCTGGCCGGGCCAAGCTGTGGGACAGAGTGCTGGGCTGGCATTACTCTTGGAGGGGGCGGAAGGGGTCCTGGTGGCACTGTGCTGCCAGAAAGTGACTTTGTGGTCTGGGGGACCATGCTGCACAGCATCCTGGCTTGAGGCTATGAGTTGCGGGGCTGGCCTGTTGGAAATGTCTGTGCAGAGGTCAGGGGCCGTCCTTCCCATTGCCTCCGCCCTGTCCTGGCAGGCTGCCCTTGGACCAAAACTTGTCTCCTCCTACTCTGGCTGCTGGGCTGGGACCCCCTGCACAGAGCCAGACCCTGGCCTCACACTGTGGGGACGTGGTGCCCCGAGCTGGGCTCGGCCGGGAGCCAGTGGAGCATTCCTCATCATCTCAGCCTGGGTCACATGGGGATTTTTGTAGCATTGTTTTTTACTTGGAAATGATCATCACTCTGTTTTTCTTTTTTTTTATATCTATATTAGTAAAGGCTGAAGACGTTTTGTACTGAACTGCTGCATCCGCTCATTTGGGAGGAAGGGGTGGGGAGGGAATCCTGTGTGTCTGGGCTGGCGCTGCCGTGCGTGCCTTGGGACCTCCCTGCTGCCCAGCGTGACTCAGTTGTTCCTGCCGTGCGGAGGCGGCTCTGGCCAGGGCAGCCTTCATCATCCTGCTGGAGAGGGATTGCACTGGCCACATTCCTGTTTGGCCCTATCACTGTCAAGGGGCCAGGTGAGGGGCTTTCCTCTGCCTCCCCACCCTCCCACCATCCCCATGTCTCCCCAGCCCTCTGCTGCCCCTGTTCCTGCACAACCTATTGCCTGGAGCAGAAGGGATGTTGTTCCGCTCTGCACTCCCTTGCCTGGGGCAGGATCAAACCCAGGCACACCATGCCCATTTTGGCTAGCACACTCCAGTCCCCTCTCTGGTACCCCAAATCAGAACTGGATGCCTCTAACAGTACTTGCCCATCCCCTCATTTCTCTGTGTAGAAGCCCCTGGGGAGGTCATTTCCCACTGCACAACCGCCTGCCACCTCCGTGGCTGCCTCTGATGGAAGCTGGCATTTCCAGGCTGCTTTAGTAAAGGGAACAGGTTTATTTCACTCATCCCATTAAGCTTTCCAATAAGCTGTGCTGCTGGGAGAGGGCTCACTTGTGGTGCCACATGTGCTGCCAACCCTGCCACCAGTGTGAGGTTCTGGCATGGGCTCACTCAGGCACATCCTGATTCTGTTGCAGCAGCCTGGCCCTGCCTGGAACACAGGGGAAGCTGTTGGACTCTGCAGCAGGAGCAGGACACCAGTCTTTGTGTGCAGAATTGCAGGAGGGAAGCAGGTGGGGGAAATGAGGGCTAATCTGGTTGCCGACACCAGGCTGGCAGGGCAGTGATGCTTTTGCCATAGGCTGTGCCTATCCTTGCCCCACCATGCTCTGATTTGCTCTGAGCTGGGACTGGCCTTAGGGCAAGTCTAGCAGTGTGATGGTACCTGGGCCTGCCCAAAAATCTGGCTTGTGCAGGGGAGGGTGGTACAGCCAAACTGCCCCGTCCCAGTGGCCAGGGTTCCACCGGGAAAGCAACTCCTCCTGGGTGGGATCACGGTCCGGGGCTGGGCTGCAGCATGCCCTAGACACAGGTGCAGTCCTGGGCCAGGATGTTGGGCACCGTCTCGTACTTGAAGGAGTAGCCGCCGTCGGAGGTGGTGCGGACGCGCAGGGAGCGCATGGTGCCGGGCAGGGCAGCGCAGCAGAGCTGCACACCCAGCCGGTGGCTCAGCCCGTGGCCTGCAGCGCAGCTCCCATGGCAGTAGTGGAAAACAAAGCTGCTGGGATGCACAATCCACTTGTCCCAGCCCAGCTCCTCGAAGGAGATGTTGAGGGAAGCCCGGCGACAGTTGGTGTGGGCAGCTAGCTCCTCGGATGGACGCTGCAGCAGGCTCAGGGCGGCTGGGGACCAGGGCATGGCAGAGCGACGAGCCCTCTCACTGCCCTTGGCCCGGGTGGTAGCCACCAGGAAGGGCATCTTGTCCCCCTCAGCCAGGCAGGGGCAGCCAGGGCAGCGCACCAGGAGCACGAAGAGCGGCTGGGAGAGCTGGGGCAGCAGCACCGGGGCCAAGTGAAATACTGTCCAGTGCTCCGGTGTCCGCTCTGCCATGGCCGTCACCGGAACCCGGCCCTGAGGTGACAGGGTCAGCACATCAGGGGTTGAGTGGTTGGGGGCAGCTGAGGGGCCAGTGTAAAACCAGAGCTGGGCAGAAGTCACCACACGGTTCAGGGTGTGTGCCGAGGGCTGGAAGAGGTAGGTGAAAATCCCTTCTTCCTCCAGCAGCTTGTCTGGCTGTGTGGGCTCACAGGGAACATCTGTGGGGGGGGAAAAGGTGATCAGGGTGTATGCCCAAACCTGGGGAGAATCCCCGGTACCAGATGGCAAGTGGGTTGTTGCAGAGGTCCCTGGGGTGCTGGCAGGGCACCTGGCTGCTGGCATAGGCTGCGGCAGGGGAGCTGATGTCCAGTGCTGTGCAGCAGCTTCTGTGCTGTGCCCCACAGCTGATCGCAGCTATGCCCTAGGTTGGTCCATTAGTGTCACCCCTGTCTGCCATGATTCTGCCCCAAAGCTGGTTATCTTTCCCCCAGAGTCCGTATCATGCCTTGTCCCCCAGCATTCAGCCCCGTAGCTGGTCATCCTGTCCCCTTCTCCAATTCTCTGCATCTGGACCATCTCCCCAGCACCCTGGCCCATCTCCCAGTCCTGTCTCATAGTTGGTCGTCCTGCCCCCTTTCCCCCAGCATGCACATCCAATCCCATCCCCTAGCATTGTGCCCCATCTCCTGCTGTTGTGCTTTATAGCTGGTCATCCTGCCCCATCCTTCAGCATCCTGCTCTGTCCCTTAGTATCCCAACCCACTTTTCAGTATCCTGCCCCATTCCCTAGCATCCCATCCTATTCCACCCTGCTCCTCAGCCCTCCCCATGTCTCCACATCCTGCCTGGCCAGCTGTTTCTCAGCCTCTCAGCACCCTCTTGTGCTGCCTGTCCCCCTGCTGTCTGTCCTGAGCTGTCCTGCCTGTCCCTGCCTGCCATACCTTTCTGTCTCCTGTCTCTCCACCAAATCTCACTCGTGCCCATGTCCCAGCTTGGCATACCTCCTTCCCCTTCTCCCACAGACCGCCACATCAGCCTCTCCATCCTTCAGCATCTGCATTGCTCCAAACCCCCACCCTGCTTCACCCTTCTGCCCTCTCCATTTCATCAGGATGTCCTCACCTGTGGCAGGGAATAAGATCACCTGGGAGGTGTCCTCCAGCTCCTCTGGCTCCACTTCGGCGTTTTCAAGGACGTCTCTCCGGTGTACCCTCCTCGCTTCCATCTGTGGCTCCTCCTGGAGAAGGGGGGGACTCAGATGTTCCAGCACCCGGGCCCTCACCTTGGCCAGGATGAGCTGCCGGTCGGCACCCGCCGCGGTGCAGCTGGCCAGGGCGGCGCTGGGCAGCATGGCAGGCAGCAGGTGCAGGAGCAGCAGCATGACCGTGGGGCACACAGCAGGGTGGTGGCTCGGGGGGCTCTGCCGTGGGCTTCTGCCTGCCTGCCCAGCCCGTCTGCCCACTGCGCTCCCCCCGGGGCAGGGTGGCATTGAGATCTATCTGACACTGACGCAAACGTCTGCTCGCCGTGAATATTATCTCTGGGCTGTGAAAGCGCTGAGACGTCTGGAATGCGAGGACTGCAAGGACAGTGTGGTCTGGGGGGGGGCTGGTGCCCGGGCAAGGGGGTGTGTGTGGGGGATGCTGTCGGGAGCAGAGGGTGCGTGGGGCTGGGGAGGCCGTGGGCCTCCCAGGAACCTAAGCTGGGGGGGATGTAAGGTGTACCTCGGGTGAGCTGCTGATGTTGGGTGCCCCCATGGTGGAGGAGCTGAAGGTCTAGGGCTTCTGGGGAGCTAGTGGGAAGTGACAGCAGTTGTGCACAGCAGGGAAATCTGGGCAAGGACCTGGTGGGGATCAGAGCCCTGTAAGGCTCTGGCATGGAGGAGACACTTTGCAGGTGGCAGTCCCCAGGGCAGCCAAAATTTGAGGATGGGGGCCTTGGAAAGGGCAAGCTGAGGGGAGAATGGTTATGGCATCTCCATGACAGTCTGGTGATTGCAAGGTCCTGGGGACATGAAGCAGGAAGGATAGTATAAGGTCCCTGCTCTACCTGGGACTGGGGAAGGCTGGCCCCGCTTCAGGGGAAGAAAAACTGATGAGACAGCTGGAGACCCTGCAGCAGGTCCGGGGGAAGGATCCTAGGGTGCTGTTCAGGCTGTCTAGCCATGGCCTGCTCACAGAGTGAGAGCTGCAGGAGAGGCATAGGCTGTAAGGAGACCCAGTTCCCTTCCTCTCACCACTGCCTGAGGGGACAGTGCCAGGTGTTCCCTATCCATTATCCATGCCTGCCCTGTGGATGGTGGGCAGCCTGTACATCCCCTCTGTGCCTCCGGCAGCCCAGTGTCCTGCAGTCCCATCCAGTACAGCCTGGCATCTCACGCAGCATCCAGTGCAGTACATCCCTCTCATGCAGCGTGGCCTGTGTGACACGGCCAGTCTCACTGCCGTCTGGTGTCCAGCTCAGTGTACCGCACACCGGGCACCCTGCCCCGGGCACCCCATGCCCATGCTCTCCGCAGGACACGTCTCTTGCTGCTGGCTGAGCCAGCGCAGAGGCACGGCCGGGCCTGCAGCACCCCACTCTCTGGGGTGGCTCCTGCTGGGCTGCTATACATAGGTAGGCCAGCCCAGCCTCGGTGAGGCGCTGAATGGAGCAGGCTCACTCTTATCAACCCCGCGTGTCATCAGAGGGTATTTTTGGGGACAGCAGCTGCAGGCATTTGTAACATTTGGTCCTTGCGCACTGACACCCAGGAGGGGAGCTGGGGGAAGCAGCAGGAGCTGGGTGCCGGCACTGAGAAACACAGGGGAGAGGTGGCGGAGCAAGGTACATGAGTGGGCCAGGGGACTAGGCTGGGGGGCTGCCTGGGGCAGGCTGACTGGGGAAGGGAGTGTTTGAAGGGTGCAATGGTGCGGCCGAGCCGTCAGACCCATCTATTTGTGTCCAAAGGAGCTGCTGTGGGGTGGCCCACGGGTTAGGGGTGTGTGTGGATGGGGAGATGGCTCTGAAGGGTGCACTGTCCTGGGGGCAGGCCTCTGGAAGGAGAAGCTGGCCGCAGTCCCTGTTTCTCCTTGGGGACCAGCCCTCTCCCACCCTCTGGCTCATTCAAGTATTTTTATTTCCTCTCCCCCTGCCTGAGCAGGTCAGAGACGACCCTGCCCCTGTCCCAGCCAAGGCATGGGCAGAGGTTGGGGGCACTCACTGGGGGGAGGCACAGAACACCCTGCCCTGCTCCTGCTCCTGATGGTGGGCACGGTTACCCACAAAGCCGGGGATGGAGGCAGTGCCCTCCAAAAGCAGGACCCATCTCCCCAGTTTTCATTTTGCCTCTGGGGCTGATGATTTCCAGCTACGGTTTTGAGTGCACAAGGGCTGGATCCTGCTTGTGGGACTACTGTCTGGAAGGGGGATCCCTTCCCCAGAAACCCCGCTTTGCCCCAGGGCACGGCCCTGGGGGGCGGCTGCCGGGCACAGGGGTCCCCTGCCCGCCCAAGTCTGGGAGGAAATCCCAGTCCGGGTCCAGCCGGGGCCTCGGGCCCGTGACAGCCCCGTGTCAGCACCTGCCCGCTGAGCCAGCCCAGATGCTGCAGGAATGCGGCTCTGCCACCACCCGATACTGCAGGAATGTGAATGCCCGGCGGGTGGGGAAGGGGCGGGCTGGGGCCCTTTTGCCTCCGCTCTCCCCCAGCCCCCAGCAAGCAGCTGCCCATGCTCCCTGTCTAGACAGGGGTCCCCCGCCTCTGGAACTGCAGTCCCCTCTGCAACCCTGGGATAGGTGTCAAGTGTCTCAGCCCCCCAGGGTGCAAAGAGCCACCTTTTGTCATCTCTCCTATTGCCTCGGGCTGGGAAATGGCTGATTTGGGTGACACAGGGGCAAAAACAGTGGGGCTGTGCTGCCCCGAATGAGGGTGATGCTCCTGAAGCAGGGGGTCCATGCTGGGGATTTTGCTCCAGGTGTGGGCTCCTCCTGGTTGGGGGTTCCACACTGGTCTGTCTCTGATGGAGCTTGGGCCCCAACTCGAGTCTGTCTGTACATCCCTCCAGGCTGATGGTCCCTACTGCTGCTCCAGCCAGCTGCCTGCCGTGACCCTGGGGAGCTGGTGATGGAGGGGTTTGGGGGAGCCCCCAGGTTCCTGGCCTATCCACGTGCCTTCACGGTCCAAAGTGGCACCAATGTGGTCCTGAGCTGCCAGATCATGGGTGATCCTCAGCCAAGCATCCTCTGGGAAAAGGACAAGAATACCATCGAACCTTCAGGCCGTTTCCATATGGAGTCCAAAGGGGACCTGTACAGCCTGCTGGTGTCCTGTGCCACCCCCAGGGACAGTGGACTCTATGTCTGCAGGGCCAAGAATAGCGTTGGCGAGACTTACGCTGCCACCACGCTCAGTGTAGAGCCAGCGGAGCCCGGAGAAGAGGAAGGATGCTCAGGCAGTGTCGCACCTGCCTTCCTCACTGCCCCCTCGTCCATGCGGGTGTGCCGCGGGGAGGACGTGATGTTCACCTGCAGGGTGTCTGGGCAGCCCTGCCCGGTGCTGGAGTGGGAGAAGGACGGGCACAAGCTCTCTGACCTCTTTGAGAGCAGCCACTTTGCAGTAGGGCAGAAACCAGAGGACTGGCACTTCCTCAAGTTGTTCAGTGCGCGGCCCCAGGATGGGGGAGTGTATGTATGCCGGGCACGCAGTGGATCCCAGGAGGCCCTGGCTGCTGCCGTGCTCCTGGTGGAAGCCCAGGCACCGCTGCATGGGCTCCCCAATGGCTCCCCTGCTGATGGTGCCGAGGTGCTGGTGGAGCAGCAGCGGTGGCGGCGGCACGCAGCGACACGGCGTGTGGGACCGGAGACCTGGGTGCCCAATGGCGTAGTGCCAGCCAGGGTGCCAGGGGCCAAGGCATTTGCCGTGAGCGCAGGGAAGCATGCCAAGTTTCGCTGTTTCGTTACTGGCAAGCCCAAACCAGAGATTATCTGGCAGAAAGATGGTGAGCCTCTCACCCCTGGTCGCAGGCATCTCATCTATGAGGACCGGGAGGGCTACTTCATCCTTAAGGTGCTGTACTGCAAACCCCAGGACCAGGGGTTGTACATGTGCACTGCTTCCAACACCGCTGGCCAGACCCTCAGCGCAGTACAGCTCCAGGTGAAAGGTAGGAACATGTCCCAGGAGTGTCACAGGTGGCTGGGCTCTGGGTGGCTCAGAGAATTTTGTCTGGCAGGGGTGTCTGTGTGGGAGCCCAGCATCTCTGGGCTCCTTCCTGCCCTGTGCAGCCAAGGTCACCCCAGACTCCTCAGGACAGAGCTGTGAGCTGGAAGCAGGGGATGCTGAGCTCCTCCAGGAGCTGTGTCCTGTTCCATGTCTCTCTCCCCTTGCAAACAGAGGGGTGGCTTCTTGGGATGGCTGGGGGTGTCTAGCCACAAACAGGGAAGGGGGACAGTACCTTGGTGACAAATTCCCCTGAAAGTGCTGAGTGATTTTGGCAGGCAGCCCTGCAGGGCATGGCTCCAACAGTCTGCACTGGCAGCAGCCCAATTCCCCCCAAGCCACCCAGCCAGCTGGGGCCAGCCCGTGGCTGGGGTTACCCAGTAACTGGTGCAGCCCCTGCCTACATCCCACTGCTCCCCTCCACTGAGATGCCTGCTGCAGCATGCTGCCTTCCATGCTCCTGCATTCCCCCAGGATGAGATACTGGGGGCATCCCTGTGTCTCCCGAGGCTGTGCCCTGGTTCTTGCTGCTCTGGGGAATGTGCTGGTCAAGGCAGTGTCTGTCTCAATCAAGCCAATGGAGAAGGCCAAGGGTTTGTGAGCTGGGAGCACCTTGAGAGAAGGGCTAATGGTGGCTGCTGTACCCCACACTCCCTAAGCTCCTGTCTCTCCCTGTGGCAGAGCACCGGCTGCGGTTCCAGGTGCAGCTGGCAGACGTGGAGGTAGCAGAGCGGGAGGATGCAGTGCTGGAGTGCCAGGTGCCCCTGGAGACCATCCCCACCTCCTGGTACCTGGAGGACAGGGAGCTGCAGCCCAGTCACAAGTATGTGATGGAGGAGCGAGGGGTGGTGCGGCGCCTAACCATCCGTGATGCCCGCACCGATGACGATGGCATCTACCTCTGCCAAATGAAGGACAAAGGGCGCAGCATCGCCGAGGTCTCTGTGCGAGGTGGGGGTCAGGTCTCTGGTACCACAGCTTTGCCTTTTTATTCTCCTCCTTGCCAGGGTCCCCACTGCCCCCTATGTTTGCCTTCCCTCCATTTGCCTGGTGCCTGCTGCTGCCCCTTCTCAACCTCCTCCTTCACCTCTCCCACCTTAAAGAGCCCATCTTGTTTCCCAGCATCCCTCCCTGGCCCTCATATATCTCTTCCCATAGGGGTGATTGTGAAGCGTCTGCCACGGAAGCTGGATGTGATGGAGGGGGAGAATGCAGTTTTCTGTGTGGAGACACGGGATGTGGTAGAGGGCAGCTTCTGGAGCCGGGATGGGCTACAGCTGTGCGAGTCACCCCGTACTGTGCTTAAGAGCTTCAGCAGGACACACCTCCTGGTGCTGGTGCATGTCACTCGCCAGGATGCAGGCATCATCTCCTTCACTGTTGGGGAGTCGCAGACATCCTCCCAGCTCCGGGTCAAGTGTAAGTTCCAGGCTTGAAGGGGTCCTGTGTCCTCTCTCCTGCCTGTTCATAGGGGGTGATACAGAAGGGGAGATGGAATAGGTACCCAATATGCTGGGGCTGTGATGCTGCAATGTGTTTTCTGGGAAGGGGTGTTTGAGCAGGGCTCCAGGATCCCAGTCTCATAGGCACTCAGAAACCCCTGTAGCTGGCAGCATGCTACATGGGAGCAAGACCATCCTCTCCCTCAGAGAGAGGATCCCCAAAGAAACAGGCTATGTATCTCCACTCAGCCCTTCTGCCACCCCATCTAGAGCCTCGCTGCCATCCCCAAGCAGGCAACCTGGGCTGTGACTTGCAGGTGTGAAGCACGACCCTCCGAGTGCACCGGTGGCAGCTGAGATGAGCGTGGTGGAGAGCAACATGGCACTGCTGACTTGGTGTCCTGCGCCTGACTCCCACCTCCGCCCCGCCAGCCACTACCTGCTGGAGCGTCGGGAGGCAGCGGGAGAGGAGTGGGTGCAGTGCCTTGCCACCGACCTGCCCAGCTGCGTGCGGGTGCTGGGCGACAGCGTGCCTCGTGAGGCCGACTATTGCTTCCGCATCTCTGCCGCCAACAAGCACGGCACGAGCAGCCCTGTGGAGTTCCCCGGAGCTGTGCATCTTGGTGAGGAGACAGGCAAAAGCTGGCATGTTGTGCCACAGTGTGCTGGTAGTCAGTGACACTGGGGCTCAGTCCCTCTGTGCTCCAGCCCCAGCAGCTCGTCTGGAGAGGGGTCTGCAGGACACGTGGGTGAGGGACGGTGAGGATGCACAGTTCTCCCTGGAGCTGTCAGCCGCGGTACACGGATCCTGGTTCCTCAATGGCACCAGGCTGGGAGAGGAGGAGGATGCAGGTGGCCGGTGCAGTGTACAGCGCCGTGGGATGGAGCACTCGCTGCTGATCCGGGGAGCACGACTGGCTGACACTGGGGCCCAGGTCACCTTCGTGTCCGGTGGTGTGAGGGACTCAGCTATCCTGCATGTGCAAGGTGATCGGGGCGCTCACCCCGTGGTCCCACCAGGACCACAGCAGCAGGGGCTGTCAAGCTGGAGGATGCTTCTCACGCCTCCTCAATGTCTCTCAGCCCCACAGGTCCACATTGCCCCAGTGTCTGAGGCCGAACGACTCCGGAAAGTGCCAGCAGGGTTGCCTGTGCTGCTGGAATGCCAGGTGTCCGCCCCAGATGCCCCTGTCTGCTGGCTGAAGGATGGCAAGGCCGTGCCCCTGGATGACGTTATCGCCGTGCAGACAGAGGGCTGCGTGCGGAGGCTGCTCCTCCGCTCAGCGTGTCCCTCAGACACCGGTGTGTACACCTGTGACGCTGGGGATGATGCCATGGACTTTGTGGTGACTGTGACCGGTGAGCTGCTGACTGCATGTGGGAGCCTGATCCCTACATCCTGATAGTGCTCCTGCTCTGTTTCTTGCCCCCATATGCAGCTGAAAGCTGCAGCCAGTCATGCTGAGGCCCGCATTATCCCTGGCAGAGGTGCCGGTGAGGATTATCAGCTCCAGCGAGGAAGCCCCCCACACCTACGTGGCCAGGCAGCGTGTGGAATTGTGGTGCCAGCTGTCCCGCCCAGCAGCCCCAGTGCGCTGGTACAAGGACGGAGAGGAGGTGGAGGTGGGCGAGAGCCTGGTGCTCGAGCAGGAGGGGCCACTGTGCAAGCTGGTGCTGCCCTGCGCTCAGACACAGGACACAGGGGAGTTCGTCTGTGATGCTGGTGGGGACTCTGCCTTCTACACCATCACTGTGGTGGGTGAGTGTGATGCAGGAGGGCTGGTACAGTCTCATGGGGTTTTCTTTGCTTGTGCAGGATGCCACATCATGTGTGCTGCTGTCAGTATTGCTGTCAAGTGCTGTGATGGGATACTTGTCAGACATGCTCCTGCCAAGTGCTCAGGAGCAGTTTGGTTGATTGTATAGTTGGGGTCCTTGTGGCACTCAGACCAGCTGCCAGAGGGAACAGCTCACTCTGCCTGCCCAAAACACTAGAGCACATGAGAGCACCCAGCACCTGCACGGCAGGGTGTTTGCCAGACCTCTGCCATGGCTAGTAACCAAGCCCTCCTCCAAGGTCCTAAAAATAATGGGCCCGACACCTGCATAGGGTGGTCATTGCTCTGATGGACAGCATTGATTGCTGACCTGAAAATTAGCAGTTGCCTGGAGACCGATGGCTGGATGGTGTTTTCTGGGGTGTTTGGGTGGGAGCAGTGCTCAGCATCCTGTGGTGGCTGCCTCAGCTGTGGGGCGACTGCTGGTGTTGCTGGCTGGCAGAGGATAATGAAAACTGAAAGCAAGTGAAAGGCTTCCCCTTGTTGGCCCCAAAATCCACATCCCACAACCACAGGGAGGCAACCAGGGGCAGAGCTAAAGCCCAGTTGAAATGTGGTGTGAACTCAGTGGTAATGCCTCACTGTGGTGTTAAAACATGGCAAAGGGCCAAAGTTAATGGCCAAAGATGTAGGAGTGAAGATAGGATGAGTGATAAGAGATGCTGAAGAGTCAGTGGAGTGGTGACTGCTGGGAGGATGAGGAAGGGAAGGGTTTCAGTGAGATAAAAAATTGCCAGTGGGAAGGACAAGCAGCATGGGCATTGGGCAGAGGCAGTGTGTTGTGTGGGAGTGTGGGGCATGGAGAGCTCTGCTTCCCTAGGGTGGGAGAGGGAGCACCATCTGCTGAAGCTCAGCCTTTTGGCTGAGCAGCTTTGCAGCACTTTGACAGAAGGGTCTTAGGGAGGCTGTCTTGGTTCAATCTGGATTTGGACATCAATGTCACCAGCAGGGCTGGGGGTGGGTGCCTAGAGGCTCAGGCTGACATGTCTCTGGCACAAGTGCCAGGCTGGCCGCTGCAGTCAAGCACTGCTGTGGCACGCTTGGGTTTCCCTAAGGCATCTCAGCTATCCCCCATAGGGCTGTTGTGGCAGGGAGCCTGCCTGCCTCAAGTTCGGCCATCCCCACGCACCTCTGGGATTTCCGTCAGCTGTTGAGCACTGGAGCTCCCTCAGAACTAGCGAGAGGCTGAGGCCAGAGCAATGCTGCCCACTGAGGGCTGGCACATTATCCCCTCACTTTGGTGCTGCTCAACATCTCTAGCTGCACTTCAGCAATGTGATTGCTTTTAGCAGGTCCAGGGAGAGAGGCAGCGGCCAGTCGTTTGATCAGGGAGCTGGGCGGATGCAGGCTCAGCGTGCAGCAGGTTAATCGCTGCAAACTGGCGCCGCACCGTTCCCGCACACTGCGGTGTGCTGCTGGGCCCGGGCATCACGGCTGGGAGCTGTCTGGGAAGCTTCCACCCGGCTGCACAGCATGGAGCGACTGCAGGCTGTCAGAGGGGCAGGTTGCTGTTCTCCACCACTGTGCCCCAGAGCTGGCTGTGGCTTGTGCCCGCAAGGAGCCAGGGGCCTGATGAGTGCCCAGGGCAGAGTCCAGGCCAGCTACAGCTGGCTGCAATGTGCATGGCCCGGCAGGCAGTGTTGGCTGTGGGTGGCATCCTGAACTTCTCCTAGGAGAGAGGAGGACTGGTCACCTAAAATTTGTACTGGGAGACCCTCTGTCTTTAGAGCTCTGATTCAATTTAGAGGGGAGATGTTAGCAATGGCACACGTTTTATGTAGCAAATAATGGTGATTTTAGGGATGACTGCAATCTGGAATTGTGTCCTGGTGAGCTGGAGGGATGGGGCTGCTGGCTGCAAGCAAACCACATGCCTGTGCCATAGTATAAGCAAATGCCAAGGCTGAGCCATGACAGAAGCACCCTGGCTGGCATCTGGTGACCTCTGAAATGGAGAGATAGGCAGAGGGGAGGGCATCCCCTGGAAGAGCAGCTGCAAGGGCTGGTGCTGGCACCACAGACAGTGGTTATCAGTACTGGACTTGCCAATATGCATCCTCCCTCCACAACCTTCAGCTCCACCATAGGGCAAAGCAGGGCAGGTACCATGGGGGCAAGGGCACGGCAGCAGTGTATAGCCAGTTCATAGCCTAGTGCTCCTCCTGATTGTAACATGTGGGGAGAAGAGGGAGACCCAGGCACGATGGTCCAGAAGCTTTTGCCATGTGGCATGTGGATGATGTGATGCCTTCCAGCCTTAAAACTAACAAGAGGTGAAGCCATCACTCCAAACAGGGCTGTGACTGCCACCGTCACTGGCTCTGGTCTTTATGTCCTGGCTGAGCCCTATGTCTCTCCATGACAGAGGAGCCGGTGAGGATTGTCAGCTCCAACGAGGGGGCCTCCCACACCTATGTGGCTGGACAGCGTGTGGAGCTCTGGTGCCAGCTGTCCCGCCTGGCAGCCCCGGTGCACTGGTACAAGGATGGGGAGGAGGTGGAGGCAGGTGAGAGCCTGGTGCTGGAGCAGGAGGGGCTGCAGTGCCGGCTGGTGCTGCCCTGCGCTCAGCCACAGGACACGGGGGAATTTGTCTGCGACGCTGGTGGGGACTCTGTCTTCTACACAGTCACTGTGGCAGGTGGGTGCAACAGACACATCCCTCTCCCCCTTCTCCCTCTGCCCCAGCTCCTTGCTCACACTGTGGTTTCAGCACCTCAGCTGCCTCTCACCTCCTTGTGAGCAGTTCCTTGCCCATTCCCCTGGGCTGGGAGGGGGGGTATGGGCAGGAGCATACAAGCTGGTTCTGTCTCTTGCCAGAGCCCTGTGTCACACTGCCCCCCTACACCCCAGAGCACAACCAGCTGCCTGCCTCTGGGTGATGCCACCTCACACCCCAGACCTGCTGTTGCCTCAGCTTGTAGCTACCAACAAACACCACAGGGCTGGGATCTCCATGGCCATTGCCCGCAGGGCAGGTAGCATGGGAGGCCAAGTGACACAAGGTCTTGGTCCTCTCAGCCCTGAAAGTCTGCCTCACCCCAGTGCCAGAGGCACAGCAGCTCTGGGAGGTGCTAGAAGAGCTGCCCTTGGTGTTGGAGTGCCAGGTGTCCCCTCCAGATGCCCCTGTCCACTGGCTGAAGGACAGCAAGGCCATGGTCCTGGCCACCTGCTCAGAGGAATGCTCACAGAGGCTGTGCATTGCTGCAGCCGCACTGTCTAACTCAGGGTGTTCACATGCCATGCCGGGGATGATGCTGCCAGCTTGACCATGAGCAGTGAGATGCCCAGGGGATTCCTGTCCTCACATGGGACTCACCCAGCACCACGCCTGTGCCCTGCCATGTCCCCAGCAGAGGTGCCAGTGAGGATTGTCAGTTCCAACAAGGAGGCCCTGCATTCCTACGTGGTTGGACAGCGTGTGGAGCTGTGGTGCCAGCTGTCCCACCCAGTGTCCCCAGTGCGCTGGTACAAGGATGGTGAAGAAGTGGAGGTGGACGAGAACCTGGTGCTGGAGCAGGAAGGGCTGCAGTACCGGCTGGTGCTGCCCTGTGCCCGGATACAGGACACAGGGGAGTTCATCTGCAATGCCAGAGATGCATCTGTCTCCTACTCCATCTTGGTGGCAGGTTGGTGGCACAGCAGGGACATCCTGGAAAGGGCAGCACTGCACCAACTCTGTGCTCTGGGGTCCCCAGCCCTGCTCCCTGCCCTCAGCATTGTGGAGGAGGGTGTGCAGTTGCATCTCTGCACCTGCTGCCCCTGCCCCTGAGTAGCTCCGACCTCTGCACTGGGGTGAGAGGATGTAGCTTCCATACAGCCCCATGGGGACAGGGACACAGACAACAGTAAATAGACACCGCAGAGCCAGGAGCAGGGCAGTGAGCAGGTCTCACACCTTTTCTTCACATCCCACAGAGCCACCAGTGAGGATCCTGCAGCCTCCACAGCGCTCACTGGAGCTGCTGGTTCAGGCACCAGGGTGTGTGGAACTGCGGTGCGAGCTCTCTGTGCCAGATGCTCCGGTGCACTGGTTCAAGGATGGGTTGGAGGTGGATGAGACTGATAACCTGCTCCTGCTGGTGGAGGGGGCCTGGCACTGTCTCTTCATCCCCAAGAGCAGCGCAGAGGATGCAGGCGAGTACATCTGCGAGACCAAGGATGAGGCCGTCTCCTTTGACGTCAAGGTGTCAGGTCAGTGGAGGTGCTGATGTGTTCTGGCCACCAGTGGATGTCCATCCACTGGGCCACCCAGCACAGGTGCTCACCTGGGGCTAGCAGCAGAGGAGTGCCAGGGCTGTGTTGTCCCTGTGCTGCTTTGTATCACAGACATGCCATACCCGCAGAGCCTCCGGTGAGGATCCTGCAGCCCTGCAGACCTGTCCCTGTCATGACGGTGTCCCCGGGGGAGACGGTGACACTGTGCTGTGAGCTGTCCCGTGCAGATGCACCTGTGTGCTGGGCAAAGGAGGGTGTCAGGCTCGAGGCTGGGGGCAGCTTGGTCCTGGAGGAGGAGGGTGCCTATCGCCGGCTGCTGATCCCCACTGCCCAAGCTGAGCACTCTGGAAAATACACCTGTGACACTACCAATGACACAGTGACTTTCACCATCCAAGTGTTGGGTGAGCATGAAGCTAGGGAAGAGCCTGGTGTGGAGTGCTGGGTGCACAAACCCCAGAGACCTCAGCTCTGTTGGTGCTGGATGCTGCAGATCCGCTGGTCAGGATCCTGGAGAAAGACGTCCTGCTGACCCACCGGCGTTGCCAGGCCATGGAGGACCTGGTGCTGGAGGTGCACCTCTCACACACCCATGGGGAGGTGAAGTGGTACAAGGACGGGGAGAAGCTGCAGGACACGGGGCGTGTGCGGCTGGAGGAGGACGGGCTGCGCCGGTCCCTCGTGATCCTGGGCACCACGGGCAAGGATGCTGGGGAGTATCTCTGTGACACCGGTGATGACAGTATCATTTTCTTCATTACTGTAGAAGGTGAGCAGGAGGTCCTGGTGGGGATGGCCAGGGGGAGAGGACTGAGGTGGGTCTGTGGCTGCTGCCAGGGTGGTGTGAGGCTGGGCTGGGTGGCAGTGAGCACAGGGAGGCTGGTGGGGGGGCACTTGGGGAGTGGGCTGCACGTGTATTGGCCCTGGGGAAATCCCTGTGCTGGCCACAGCTGCAGCCAGAAGAGTCCGGACAGGGTTTGGCCATTGAGATATCCAGCACAGGCTGCTTTTGTGGTGACAGCCCATCTCTCCAGTCCCAGAGCCACCGGTGACCATCGTGGGCAACACGGGCACCGCGGTACATCGCTGCCTGGTGGCCGGGGAAGACCTGGTGCTGGCTTGTGAGCTCTCCCGGCCCAACGCCATTGTGCGCTGGCTCCGGAATGGCCAGGAGGTGCATCCGGGTGAACGGGTGCAGGTTGAGGCCCGTGGGGTGCTGCGACAGCTCACTGTCAGTGGGGTACAGCCCAGCGACACAGGGTGCTACATCTGTGATGCTGCCAGCGACCGCATGGTGACAAATGTGGAGGTGTCAGGTGAGCTGGTTCAGAACCCCAGTGACCTCCAGAATGGTGGGATCATGCCACAAACCTGGACAAGGGGAAGGGAAGCCTCTGTGACCCTGCTGATGCAGAGGCCCGGGTGGCAGCGTGGCAGGGAAGGGTGGGAGCACTGTCCCATACCCTACAGAAGCTGTTGGTTAGAAAGAGACATATCAGGGTCGTGGCGAGACATGTCCCTGCTGCCTCCCCCAGCCAGGGGCTGTTTAAATTTAGCCTTGGCTGGCTCCCAGGCGCCGCTCCTCCTGCTTTGGCTGCCAAAGGCTGAGCTCAGCCTGGACCCTTATCAGCTGGAGATGGAGGGCTGTGCAGGGTGGGAGGGGGCCTATTGCAGGCGGGTTCCCTGGCTCCCCAGCAAGGAGTTCTGGATGGGGAGGGAGACATACAATGAAATTAATGCTCTCAACATGGCAGCTGGGCCGCCTGTACAGGGAGTGATGCAGGAGTGATGGGCTCTGCTGCTGTCCCTTCCCTGAGTGAATCCCTGAGCTGCCACCTCTCCAGCCTGCATGCCTGCCCCTCTGGGGCCACTGTCTGGTCCTACTATGACCCCTAGCCAGCCCCACAGCTCTTCTGCCCCACGGTGACTCACTGAGGGATCACCTCTCCACTTGCAGCAGTCCTATCCCTGCACTGCCCCACACTGTGGGTGCATCCCTGAACCCTGCCTTGTCCCTGCGCCCCTCAGCCCGGCCTGTGTGCATTGTCAACAAGGAGGAGGCGCAGAGCCCGCTGGAGGTGCAGGAGGGGGACAGTGTGACACTGGTGGCTCGGCTGTCCCAGGAGACAGCGGCAGTGCAGTGGCAGAAGGACGGACTGACGCTGTGCTCAGGTGGGCGGCTGCTGGTGTGCAGCGAGGGTCCCATGCACAGCCTCACCATCAAGCAAGCGGAGCTGGGTGACGGGGGCATCTTCCTCTGCGACGCCGGTGATGATGAGGCGCATTTCACACTGCATGTGAAAGGTGAGCCTGGGGGTGTCCCTCGCCCACGCCGCGGGCAGGAGCAGTCTCATCCT